TGGACCCAGTATAAACGCTCACAAATAACTAAGGTTCCTTATGCATTTGCTTTGGGTATGGCACCATTTTCAGCTGAAAAATCCACTGAAAAGCACTTTTGTAATGAGTATAAACACTTAATTCAGGGATGTTAATAAGGCAAACCCAAAAACTAAACTAAACTAAACTAAGCTAAAATAAAACATTGCAGCATTGCTACCAAGTTGGCAAATATAAGGAGTTTTGTCTTAGGGCTTTCCTGAAATCTTCTTCCCCAAATTTTCATTTCAGAAAACTTTGATGTCCTGATTTTCTCGTCATTCACATTATAGGGTGTTACAAAGCTATAGAGGAAGCACCATGTCCATGTGTGGAGTTGGGAGTGTGGAGGATAACAGAAATTCTATGACAAGTCACTGGGCCATGAAGGCACAATTTTATACCAAATAATAAGCAGTTCCCTGACTGTAGATACTTATATATAACCAAGAGTATTTATTTCTCAAATATCATATTAGTAATTCAGGAAGACACAGTTCTCAACTTTATGAAAACTAGCTTCACTAATGTTAACAGGGAAAATAAAGCCCTCATTCTCACTATCTTCCCCTTAACAGCCCAATGGTCACACTCGAAGTTTGCAAAGAGCATTAGCAATGATTGTGACGCCAATGCCAACAGTTTTATGACTGCTGCTCTTGCTCCATAGAATGAGAATACCAGACCAGACTACTGAATGTGACAGAAACATTGGTACCAAAATAAGCTAAGTGAAACTTGTGAGCTCGCAGACAAGCTTAACCTATAATGGGCAGAAAGTTCATCTGCCTCAGAAAGGTGACGTCAGCCATAGTGTCTGTGCAGTTTGCTTTAGAACACAATTCTGGAAACTATAAATGTTTTTAATTCTCAAAGGAAGACCACTCAAACTCAATCAGAGTAACTGTGTCATTGGCTTGGCTAATGGTCCCTATGTGAATTGGTCATTTTCAGCAATTCAAAAAATCCTAAATGGGCTTCCTTCTAGTGTCCTTCACCCTTCTGTGCTCCCTTTGGGTGGCAAATATTAGTTTAATGATGATTTCCTGATTTTACCTAGTGCTTTTTGTCACCATGTAAAGTAACCATCATAAGAGGAGGCATAGACATCACCCAGTGTTGTGAATTGAATGATGTCCAGTTCATCCCTGAAGTTCCTGTGTTGAAGCTGTAATCCCCTAGATGACTGTCTTGGGAGATAGGGCCTTTAGGAAGCTAAGGAAAAGAGAGGTCCTATTGTGGACCCTAATCTTGTGTAAGAAAGGACACCAGATTTCCCTACATAGGCCCAGTGAAAGGCCATATGAAGACAGGGAGAAAGTGGCTATCTGTAAACCAGGAGGCCCTTATGAGAAACCAAATTTGTCAGCACTTTAAACCTGGACTTCTAGCCTCTGCAACAGTAAGAAAACAAATATCTGTTGTCTAAGCCACTCAATGTATGATATTTCATTATAGCAGCTGAACTAATACACCCAGTTTATGATGTAACAGCACCAAAGAGATCAGATGTTAGAGAGATTTCCACACGTTCCTAAGTGGCACACAAGAGTTAGTTCCACGAGCAGACTTCCTCCTGAAATCATGCTTTTGTAGGAAACCACTCTGCATGTTCTTTTTCTGTTCTTGTTACTGGGAATCAAACTCAGGACCTTGCACTTGCCAGGCAAGCACTGTGCAGTGGAGCTATATCCCCGGCCTTAGCTTGCATGTTGTTAATATTAAAGATAACACCCTTTCAAATCATTTTAACTAACATTAATATTAACAAAGCTAAGTCTGCTCAACCACCATGAGAAAGACAGAACACAGTCGCCTCAAATCTAAATGCTTCATAATCATTCATTTATTAGCCAAGTAGAGATACTGCCTTTCTCCAAATGGCACACCACATAGATTCACAGATGCTGGCTGCTCCCTGCTTCCCTCCCTATGAAAAACACTGGCTGTTCTTAGCAGCCCTGAAACGTATTGCTGTAGCGCAGTTGGACAGCAAACTTCAGCAGCAGAACTGCTGAGGATCCCTGGTTTTTTGAGCACTGTAGACTCTTCTAGAAAGTGCCATCAACACATCCAGAAGCCTGCAATGCTTGTGCAAGACAAAAAAGGAGAGGACCATGACTCAAGGGGATGGATGGGTAAAGAGAACTTTGAGCCTTCTTAGAGACTGAGAGGAATTGTAGAAAATGCAATAGTTCCCCCTTACAATTTTTCCACTTCCATTTACCTGTGTTCATCTATGGTCTGAAGATATATCCATGGTCCAGAAACAAACAGTTCAGAAGCTCTAAACTGTGCATGGTTCTGAGTCATGTGATGAAATCTTGCACTGTCAACTCTATCCCGTTTAGGATTATCTCTTTGTCCAATGGCTCATGCTGCACATCCTACAACCCCTGCTAGTCACTTAGGAGCCATCTTGACTATCAGACTGGCTGCCAAGGTAAGGCAGTGCTTGTGTCCAAAAAGCACTTCTCTGTAACAAAATAGAACATCATAATGCCTGCATCACTCCTCTTACTTCATCTCATCTTCAAGGCAGTGATTCACATCACAGCACCCCAAGAAGGGAGAGTACAGCACAATTACATATTTTGAGAGAATGAGAAAGACCACACTTTATTAGAGTATATTGTTATACTTGTCTATTTTACTATTAGTTATTGTTTATTAATCTCTTATTGCACCTACTTTATAAGCTAACCCTTATCACAGGTAAGTATGCATAAGAATAAACATAGTATATACAGGGGTACCTCAGTTCATGAACTTAATTCTTTCCACAATTCTGGTTGCACAATTCATTCCATGATGATTGTGACAACTGAACTGGCTGGACCAAGGTACCACTTTATAGTGTTTAGTAGTATCCTCAGCTCTCCAGTGGGGGTCTTGGAACATATCTCCCAAGGATAAAGGAGGATTACTGCATAAAGACAGAGAAAAAGATTGATAGAAAAGTGTCTGCAGGATGAGAAGGATTTTCTCACCTGTCTGTGGCAAGAATGCACATGGGGGGGGCATTTATTCATTTATTCATTTTAAGAATAATGATGAATGGAAATGCAGCAGGGAAAGAGGAAGACAGTTTGTGTCAGATGGGCTCAATTTTCTCACAAAAGAAGTGAGACGTTGAAGTTTAGATGAAGAAACCCTAAAGAAGGGTAGAAAGTGTTTAAAACCAAGAGTCAGTTAGAACCGGTTAAAAGTATCACCAAACACAGGTGACTGCTGTATTAAGCTCTAATGGCATAGTTTCAGCTATAATGATTATGAGGAAACTGCCTCTGTGGCAGAGATCACGAGGTTTACTTGACTGCCATGGTGCTGAGTCAGGTCCTTAGGCAGTGGTCTTTTGATCTGACTAAACCTGAAACCTCGCTTTCTGCAACTTATCTGGGCTTCTGTGGTTTATCTAGTCTGGGCGTGCAGGACAATCTGAGGCTCTCAGCATGGGTGCAAGCCTTTCCCCATCTGGCCCGCACTTAAGTCTCCAGCACCATTTTTTGCTGCCTGCCATACTGAACAAATTACAGTTCAGCCAGTGCCCCAGGCCATTTCAATGCCCTTTGATCTTAGATCACACAGTTCTCAACTGTCTTTTCCCTTTAAAGTCTGGAAAGCAAACACACATTTTTTAAAAGGTTGCTTCCTCCAAGAAGCCTTCCAGGTTCACCGGGGGCAAAATTGTTCATTCATTTTCCTTTTGTCAATGATCTATATGCCCTATATATGCTCCTAACTGCACATTAAGTTCCTAAGGTGACTGTAGAAATGCTTCTCACCTGCATAGGGTCTCAGTCTTGGCTTCTGGCTCCACCATTACCCCCATTTGGCAATGTCTGGAGACATTTCTGACTGTATCAATGAGGGATGGGGATAGACTGGCTGGCCTCCAATGGCCAGGGATACTGCTAAGCATCCTACAATACAACACAATAAAGAATTGCCCGGCACAAAAAATCAGTGCTACCAGAAACCTAGTGTAGACACACAATATTTATTTGGGTGCATAATATGCTTTATTAAGCCTGGTTTTAAATATACCTTTTATAGTACATAGTGCAACTTAATATGTAGTAATTTCCCGAACCTTGGTTTGTAGAACAAGAACAGTAACTCCTGAGGAGTGCCCCAAGCCTTCCCCAGTACCCTTCCCCGACTTCCTTCTCTAGAATGGATGAATGCAGCAGTATTCTGGTCAGAACTTAAAACCCAGAAGGACTGAAAGAGATTTGCGACCTTAAACCAGTTACAATGGTTAATGGCAAGGCCAAGACTAGACCTCAGATCTCCCACTTCCACAACCCCACTCAGCTCTCTTTCCTGGCTAATACCACCCGGTACCCGGGAGGAATCTGTGTCCTCTGAATACGGAGCTGGGTGACTTAGCAGGAGTTCCAAGTAGTATTCACACTTCAACACCCAGGCTCCACCCTTCCTTGAGCTGACTTTATGAGAATTTAAATTAACTCTGTAAGACCCCTGCACTCTTTGGGGAACTAGATTTATGCAAAAGAATTATGATTCATGAGTGAAGGAACTTTAAAAAAACGTAAATTATTTCATCACGCAAAAGACAAAGGTGACCTTAGAAATATATTCAAGGCTCTGAAGGAAAGGTTATTCGTTTGGAAGGAGGGAGGGGAGCTGCCCTCCATCCCTAGAAGTCGCACATGTGGAAAGGGCCTTCAGCTACAGCAGCAAGCTGATTTATGTGAGAGGAAGTACTTCCAAAAGGAGGTTTTAGCAAGGCCTCGCCTGCGTCCGGATTCTGCAGTCCAGAGAGCTCTGGGCAGGTCTGGAGCTCCGGGCCCCAGCTGCGCTGCCGAGCCCCCAGCGTGTGTCCTCTCCCGCTCCTCCTCAGGGGTTGATCCGCAGTGGGTAGCCCCATTAGGGCTTCCGCAGCCCCACCCCATTTCCATTCCGCCCCTGCAGCCCCGCCCTGCGAGCCCAAGGGGGCGGAGGGCCCCCGACTCACCTTCAGGTGGATGGGGAAGGACCGCTCCTGCTGGAGGGGCCCCAGCAGCGTCTGCTCTACATTGACCAGCTCGGAGGTCGAGTCCACGACGCGGGCCAGCGCACTGCGCATCGCCATACGCGCCAGGGTGCAGGGCCCACGATCCGGGGCAAAGGGTAGCAGCTCCGCGCCACCCTCGGCGCCTCGCACCTCCTCCGCTTCGGGGGAGCACGCCTGCTCCTGGACATCCCCATTCGTGGCCCCCGTGTCTCTGCCCCCGTCCTCGCGTTCTGGCCGCAGCAGGGCCCGCATAGGACCTGAGCTACTCGGTGCAGCGGTGGGCACGTGGTCCGGGTCTCGCGGGTTCCCCGGGGCTCTCGGACCGTCTCCCCAGCCCCACTCCTGCTGCAGCAGCTGCAGGGTCTGTAGAGCCACCAATTGGTGGCTGATGGAGGCCACTAAGGGCGCGGGGCTGGTCATCGCCTAGGTTGGCGGCTCAGCGCGCTCCGCAAGCAGGTGGAGCAGGAGCAGGGAGGCGGGGGCTTTTGGGGGTCGCCAGGGTTGCATTTCCTAACTTGCCGCTCCAGTGCCTCCGCGTTTCTCCGCGTGAGTGGCGGGCCCCGCCTCTGGCCCGCAATCAGTGACCCGCACTGTCCCCTTCATTCGTTTCAAGTTCGAAAAGGCTTGTTCTGGCCCAAAGCTGCCTGCAGCGCTGTTTGATGTGCACTTGAATATCAGCCAAATGCTGAGCGCTGATTCTTCCTTCTCTCCAGGGCTTTGCTGGGAAAACGTGCTGCTTTGTGCGGATGCATCCATCAGCAAGATTTCCCCGCCCCTTTCCCCTTTGAAGGATGCTTATGCCTAGGATAGGGATGACAGAGACTGGCCCAGGAGCAAAAGTGCGCAGAACCCGGCAAAACTGAAAAAGGGGAAACGGTGCCTGATTCTCCTCCCTCTCCTTCCTAACCCTAGGGGTGATTTCAGGAACTTCCTGGCATAGTCCTAGGCCTCGAATTCCTTCACACAAAAGAAAGTGGACTTCAGTATTTCAGAGTACTACCATCTGGGCTTTGCGACCTGCCCTGCAGGCACCTGCAGCCCGGCTGCTGAAGTGGCATCGTCTCAAGGCAGGTGTGGCCTGCCCCTGAAGCCCAAGCCTGGCACTGCCCAAATGAGGAGCCTCGACGGTTTTACGTGAAACTCCCAAAGAACTCTGACAGCAAGGTTGAAACTAAATCCTTTTATGAGCCGTGAACCCAGGGACAGCTGTACAAATAGTTGCTGTTTTTAATTAAACCTAATGTGGCTACTTCCTTAACTTGGGGAAAAGGACTGGCAATTTTATGCTTTGATAGGTTAGAAACCATCAGTGTATGCTTGCACTTAAGAAAAGAAAACACTTGAGGGATACGATACGAACCATAGAACTGTGCCATCACCATTTCTGCTTTCTCCCTAAATGGAAAACCGTTTAGGAAAGTAGAGGCAAGGGTTCAGGGAACAAAGGAGTGGGCCTTGGCAGACTGGAGGGTGGATTTCATTCTCCCTTTAGAAGCCAGGGTCCTGCAGAGTCAGTTCTGGGGGCAGCTGTAAATGGAGAAGCCACTCTAGTGTGTCTAGTGGTGCAGATGGATAATTCTCAAAGATAGGCGAAGGGATGTGGGGTGCATTAAGGTTTCTTTAACTCCGGAATAGTGTGACCCCATATAATTCTACCCACCGTCCAGCAAAGGTTCCTTCTCCTCAGTGTTTTCTTCGCCTATGAAAACAAATCTGGATGCCAAGGTAAAGAAAACCTTTCTTAAGCAGAAACGAGTATGTTCACACTAATTAGAACTAAGCAGAAATGCATGTCTGTGCATTGACAAAAAGGAAATTACTTTGGAGAGAAGTAAATAGTTGAATGTTGATTAGATTCTCTTGCTATGAAGTTACTGAAGTTCATAAAAATACAGAAATTCTTCCTTATTTATTTATTTTTTAATCCTCAAATGTTGGAGTACATTAGGCTCAGCAGAGACTAACTGGGAATAGCAAAAACTAACCTCTAATTTTCACAAAACGTATCAGATCTCCAGGGCTGCTCCTCTTTCCAGACACACGGGAAATCCAGTTTCATGGACTAACTCTTCCACTCTCGAATGGCTGACTGCAAAACTTTCTTGACAGGTGAAATTCCAGCCAACAGAAAAACTGAAATCGCTAGACAGAGCCCGACCCAAGACCTCTCTTCTTCATAGCAGGCTGATTCTGAGGGCCATCAAACCAACCAACCTTCATGGATTATGAGAGATGAGGGCCAGAAAACCATGAGGCTTATGGGAAAGTACACGCTGGTTAAATAGTGACCTTGTTCTAGGGTCCTTAGGGACCTCTGGATCACCTAGCAGTTCCATGCTTTGTCTATCTTGGCCATGGGTCACACTCTTCTTTGCTGTGATCTCAAAATGGCTTATGGCCCAAAGCCAGTGATGAGACGCTTAACTGAGGAAAAGTTTGCATAAGCTCCTGAGATGAGATAATAGAGTAGCAGCTCTGCCATTATCCTAAACACCTTCAAAGTTACATGAGCACAGCTACTAGACCAAGTAACAAATTACATACTTCCTACCCACTCACAATCTGAGGCCACTATATAATACAAGGCTCACTGAAAAGAGCAAAGTACTGGACATCTGTTTTGTTTTCCTTGTAGCAGCTGTTTCACTATTTTGTGAAGACCATACATCATATTCCAGAGGATATTTCTGCTCCTCCGCTAATAGTCAGTGAGCTCAAATGGTATCAGTCCATCTCGCTACAGAAGGGATGAGTCATCCAGGCTGAGGCCAATCACACATCCCATTTCCAGTTTTCAGCTGATTGTATTGTCAAAGAGAAAGTAATGGGACTAAACAGTATAAACAAAGAGCTCAAACTGGAAAAAAATAGTGAATTTCCATTAATAAGAAAACTCAACAGCTACAGTTTATTCAATAAGAATAATTTATTGTCCTATATCACAAAACATCTGAAGACAGGGTAGCTCTAGGGTTGGTTAAAACTATAGTTCAAGGGTGTCATCAAAACCTTGATTCCTTCCCTCTTCCTGCTCTGCCATCCCCAACACATCACCATGGTCCTCGGTCCTTGGGCTAGTTCCCTTAGGCCCCCAGAAAGCTGCAGTAGCTGTTGGCATCAAATCTAAACAGTATCTCTTCTTCAGTGTCCCTTCTTAAAAGCAAGGAGATAGTTTCCAAAGCCTTCAGCCCACTTTCTTTGACCGTTCCTTGATCAAAATCGTGTCACTTGGTTTTTTGTTTTGTTGTTGTTGCTGTGATCTATTATAATTAAGAGGAAAGGAACCACCCTTAAGTGAATCAGAACTTAATCCAGAAGCTGGGCCTAGGTTTAGCCTCCCCTGAAGCATGTGGTTGGAGGAAGGCAGGAAAATTACTTGATGCAGTCCTGATTTTATTTCCAGGCAACCTCAATGGCAACAAAGTACACTGAGGCTTTTGCAAGAACTGGATGAAAAAACACATTAGACTTCCAGGGCTGCTTTTCTTTTTAGATAGACAAATCTAGGAGAACCCTTCATTATTGAGTGGCTGGCTTCAAGCACCTTTGTACAAGTGAAACTGAGGAAATACAGGTTCTGGAGCCTATCCCCTTTACTCCTACCATCTTTGACAACATATTCTACTGAAAGTATCCTAAATGATGTCTGCAAATGAGCCAGCACTGAAGAGAAAAAGTCAACACATCCTCAGAAAGAATCCACCATTTGAACCATACAAGTGGACAACTCCACCTCTGAGCTTTTCAGTGATATAAGCCAATAGTCCTTTTGCTTGAGCTACTTTGGGTTGGATTTCCTGCCTCTTACAACCAAAAGAATCACCACTGAAACAAACAGCATTGTGTGTTACAGGAAAGGGTAGTATGCTAACAAAGTGATTCTGTGGCCCACGGCCCCTTTGGCAAAGCCCTGCTGACAGGGCCCTCCAACACAGTACTTCCAGCAATACGTTTGCTATTCACAGGATGTCTACTGTTTCAGTAATTTTGGGAAAAGCTCTTTGTGCAAGTCTGGCTATTCCTCACAGCAAACGAGGGCACTTAAAAATGAGTACCGGCATTCAGCCCCCTGTGTGATGTGGAAGAAGGATGGAAAACTCAGCAAATTGAGAAACCATTTCCCCTGTTAGTGAGCAAGGTGGAGTATCCTTAGGTAAAGCAGTGTTCCGGCACTTCCCTTAGTCCAAAGGTGTCTTTCTCACATAAACAAAAGATGCATGTTCTTGTGTGGGACCATCAAGAAGCTGGGCATAGCAAGACCAGAAGGGAGCTGGCAGAAGGCACAGCTATGTGGAGGCTTCCTCAAAGGACTTGGCACAGCCCAGATGCATTTGAGCCCTGCTTATATTCTTTGGCCCTTTTCTCCAAAAGGGATCCAAGAGAATTCCAGAAATGAAGCTGTTAACCTTCAATGCACTCTGGTAAAGTTCATAGGTGGGGGCAAAACAAAAATGTCCAAAGAGATTGAAGAGTTATTATTCTTGAATAAAAATTACAATTGAGGAGAAACAGATGCCAAAGAGATATACCAAGATATGAAAATGTACTGTAAAAGAGAAAACAATCAAACTAGGAAAAGGTGTAGACCCAAAGAAGAAAGAGCAAAAAAGATCAAATTCCCTTTTTTAAACATGTAATTGTAATGTTTGAATATGCCAAGTCATAAAAATGCACATGAAATTTTAACTTTAGCCTAAACATTTGATTTTCAAAGAAAAAAAATATGGTCCTGCCGTGAAACCTCTAAACTGCCAAAAACAATTGTTTACACAAGACAATGTGTTTTGAGGACATTGTATATGCACTGCCTTCCTGGGCCCTAGTTAGCTGGTGAAACTAAATGAAGCTGGTGAAGAAAAATGGAGAAAAGAGGTTAAAGAGGGAAATGAGAAGATAAAAATGTGAAATTCCACCTGCCTATCCTTGACATAATCTGATGTGCATTTTCCCCTCTGCCATTCACCTCCACAATGCAGAGTACATTTCTTTCTGGACACAGAAATAATTTTACTTGGGCCCACTTTAACAACTTATTTCCAAAAGGAGTTCATGATTTTGGCAGAAAATGATCAAAAGTGAATTTTAAAAGAACATATAAGCAAATCATGGTGGTGCACACTTGGAATCCCAGCACTTGGGAGCTGTGGGAGGAGAATTACTGAGAGTTCAAGGCCAGCCTGGGCTACATAGTAAGTTCAAGACCAGCCTGTACTGCATAGCAAGATCCTGTCAAAAAAAAGAAAGAAAGAAAGAAAGAAAGAAAGAAAGAAAGAAAGAAAGAAAGAAAGAAAGAAAGAAAGAAAAAAAGAAAGAACAGAAACAAAATAGGATATAGAATTTTTTCTAATTACTGCATCTTTAGTAGATGATTTAGTTTTTAAGAGTGAGAGAACAGTCCTGGACTTTCATGCGGCCCACTCATCATTTCAACAAGACAGCCTCACGGGACTTGCCCCCCATTTCTAATTATAAAATGTAACCCCTGAAGAACAGCTTCTCCCTTACAAGGCTACTTGATTTCCTATATTATTTTTATGAACTGTGTAGATATGGCTGATTGCATTTAAATTGGCAAAAAGGTATTAAAATTGGAGGAAGGGAAAAATATAGGAGTGTTTTAATAATTTTGCCACCTAGATTCCAGGATCTTTAACCTTAGTGAAAAAAAAATGTGATCACTTATCTCACTTTGCAGGATCACCTTTCATTTTCATGTTCTAGTAAGTACCATTTTCCTGTGACAGAAAGAAATAGTTGACTTAGGTAGACATATTTAATTTTCTACTTTGCATTCCT